TGGGGTATCTCGTCGCCGGACGTCTCCTGGTGATACCACTGGCTGCTCGCGATGTCATATACGTCAATCGTCGTCATGGATGAGTAGGCATCCGTTGTTTCATGGTCGCCGACGACACCACCGCCGAGACCTAGCAAAACTCCGCCGGGACCCCAGCCGGGTACTATGCCACCCCGAATTAGTTACCATCATATTGGCCGTTAAGGATCAACGTTTGAAAAGGGCCCTTGGTATTCTAAAATTGCCTGAAAGAAGAAGGATATGATTCCAGGGCTTACTTACCGTATACGAGGACGCCATCGGCCCGTTCTGTAAATCCGTCTTGATTCTGTTCTCCAGCCCAGGTAATATTACGGTAGGCACCGCCGCTTGGTGCCCCGGAATCGTGGAGTGAGCTGACTTGCATGTTCGAGTAACCGGGATGTGTGAATTCGAGGAGACTCTTTAGATATACTCGAGGAGTCTGGCTCGACCATCCGGGCGTCGTGCCCCAATCGAGATGGCCTCCGAAGTACCAACTCAGACCTAGCTCTGGCACCGATACGCCAGCCCCTTCTGCGGCACGCTGCACGGGCAATCCCCCTGCGTCGGAATACAGGCCAGCGGACGTTTGTAAGTTATTTAGTTCCGTCCAGGTTGCCGATTTTATATCATACATCCACGTAGATATAGGCAATGGATTGGATGACGGGAAATCGAATTCACCACCGTACAAGAATAAGTGATCGAAGTCGTTCCAGAGATACCCCAGTGACACGGCTGGCGGCCCGGATGGTTGAGGCATCGCACTTACAGCGGGAGAGCTGATATCCCACGACTTCGTTAGATCAACCGTAATGAAATCATTATCTTTTCACTGTCAGCGGTATAGAGCATGGTGTTGAGTCCGGCAGATACATACTCCATGTATTGTCTGTCTGGTTGGCAGATGTCTTCGCTCGACCACCATAATAATAAAGCGTGCCATTCAGCAGAGCACCTATTATTATTATTAGCGCCTACTTAATCCCTATATATCATTTTTTGTGATGCTCACTTTGCCCAGCCCATCTCTTGCACACGTCCGTTGGGCTATTTGCACGATCTTGTAGTACAGATCCAACAATCGGTTCCCGAATCACACCCGCCTCTGCCCCGTTCACTTTGACAATTCGACAACCATTATTATAGCTGATAGCAGGAAGGAGTACCGCAATTATTAAGGCGATCAGGGTGGCCCTTTGCATCCCCGATATCGAAGAGGGTGGAGAAGTTGCTGTTGATTTGATCTTCGGTCGATTTTCTGCAATTAATCTCGAGAACCACCGAGACTTCCCCTGTGCGGGTTCCTCTCCAGCTGTGTCTTTTCGCTTATTTGTCGGAGGACTCGATATTGACGGTCGTCTTGCCGTCTTCCTGATCTGTTCTTCCTCGAAACTCTGCGTACCGGTCGAGTCCCCAGTCTTCTCATCATTCTCCCCATCATCGTCCAACCCAATTTCCCGGAACACCGACTTCCTGCCTTTTCGAATTTTGCTGCTCATGGGAAATGCCACGAATTTCGAGCCCTCTTCTAATCTGTGAGAGGTGACTTGGGAATTAAAACGTGGTCGTTCTGGATTTGGGCGTTGTCCACCCGAGTCTAAAGTACTATGTTGTGCTGAAGGGGACGTCATAACGAGAGGGTGCCATCAACATTTAATTAATCATTAATTCAAGTTCGCTTTGCGTTGTAGTGTGTGCTGCAAAGGTGGGAATATGGGACATGATGTCAGCCTTTTAATGGTCCTAACAAGCTGTAAGGGGTTCAAGTTCTTACAGTCGCCACCTTGCTGTCGTATCGTAGCACCAACAATTAACAGTCGAATTATAGCCAGGTACCGACCAAGGATTCTGTTCGAACGTAGTTCTAATTGGCCTATAGCTGTCGGCAATGCCTTCAACAATTTTGCGACAGGGTATGAACTTGGCCCTAGCCCAAACACATCACTAGCTACACTTTACTTGCCCAATGCTTAGATGAATTCATTCTCATCTGTCATCTGGGCAGTATGAAGTAGGCGCCGCCAGTCCGCGTTAGGCAATGAAGTCTACCCCAGACTAACAAGGGATTCTTTCCGATACTGGTGTCGTTCATTGCCGTTTTAGGACTATTCGTCCGAAACGCCATGGTTTGATTGGTTCCCAAGAGTCCTGAGCCAGCAAGAATGACGACAACAAACTCTTGATCTAATTTTATACTGAGAAGCAGGGAGGGCGGAGCTTATACCCCGGTCGATGATGCAGTGTATCGATCGATAGAGATGTCGAGAGATGTGGCTCGGCAACAGTAATTTTTAACACCATTCCGTATACCTATCTTGTAATCGGAGACAGGCGTGAAGTAGGGTTAGTATTATACAGAGGATTTATGATTGCTTCATCAATCCATACAGATAATTATATACGGAATGTGAGAGCGTCTGCACTCGCTCAGTTCTAACCCTGCTTGACCTTGTTGCTTAAGAGTTAATAACAAGGAGGTTTATGATAAGCAGGGCTTGTAAGCAAATACAAGCTTAGTAGATCGAGCCACGCTCCTCATGCCAAACAAAGTGTTAAAATTTAGGTCGCAATACGCCACATTATAGCTGTCAACACGTCTAGGAAGTGACTAAGTCTACTATATATATTGTGCGAAGCCTTTTTTAATATATTCATCTATTCCTTTCTTTGTGCTCTAGCGTCTAAGATCCTAGCAAATCTGGTATTTAGGCTTCGACGTTGTGACGAACCCAGCAATGTTCGCTCTACAGGCTCGATTGTAGTTATCAAAAGTTTCTTCCGCGTACCAAGCGACATGCGGCGTGGCCACTAAGTTGAGGTCCGCCGTATCTGCAGCAAGTAAAACGTTGTTGGCCGGCTGCGCCGGTTCTTGGCTATAAACGTCTGTACCCGCGCCCGCGATCTTTCCTTCCCTGAGGGCAGAGACGAGGGCATTCTCGTCCACAATTCCGCCTCGAGACACGTTGATCAGCAGTCCGTAGGGCTTCATCTGATTAAACTCCGCTTCGGAGATGAGATTGAGGGTCTCCGGTGAACGGGGGAGGCAGACTATCAGGACCGAGCACTCTCGGATTACTGTCTCGAACCCAACGCGACCTTCTGGAGCCGGAGCACCTTTGCGCCCGGCGACGACGGTCTTCATACCCAGCAATTTGACCGTCGCTTCGACACGTCTTCCAATTGCGCCGTAGCCGATAATGCCGACTACTTCGTCGCAGCAGGTCCTCGGCGGTTTGCCATCCGGTCCGTCCATGGTGCTGTGCTGCGATCCCTTATTGGCCCAGTCGCCGCTACGTGTGAGGGAATTCGTGAGCATCAGAGAGCGGCGCGTTGCGAAATAAAGCGCTAGGACATGCTCAGTCACCGTGGTGACATTGCAATGTGGAGTGTTGCTCACAACTATTCCCCGCGCTCGACACGCTGCCAAGTCCACGGTATCTGTGCCGGAAGCAATGACAGATACCACTATCCAAGATTCACGGTTAGTATACGCACGTTAAATACTTCAAATTTGCCATGCCAGCTAGGGGTGGGGTAATCCGGCCGTAATAGGCACAACAGAACTCAGATAAATCACCGTACTCTTCAAGCGCGGGGATGCCCCAGGACCCAAAACCTCGGCGGTCAATGGCAAGATGGACATAATTACAATGTCAGCATCGTGAATCCGCTCCGCAATTTGATCTGGCCTCGTTCGTTCGTAGTTCCGAAGTTCACAGGTATGAGGTGCCGGGAGAGTGAAGTTGGGCAGCGGGCAGAAGAAGGTCTCAAATGCAACAATGACCCAATGGGTCTGTAGTTGTTGGGTCATCATGAGACTCTTTAGGTGCTAATCTAGCGATGGAGGACCTCGAACGAAAAATATTTTTCGGTCTCTAAGGATTTCTTTAAGGATTATTTGGCGAGTTCGGCGAGGTTTATTGGCATGCGCTTGTATTCCGTGACTCGGGGTTGCATATGTCATTGAAGGGCGCAATGTCAGCGCTCCACAATCTGGTCGAAATGCTCTTTCTAGGAAATAATAAATACGCTTCATTACATGTGGATTATCCCGACTCGTCTTTCAGGGTATGAACATACTGATAGCCCTTTTTATCTAGGATCAGAATATTCTATATACAATATGTATAAGGCAATATCTACAGCTCTGCTCGACAAGCCATCATTCGCTAGGTGTTTCTGCTACTCATTAAGGTCCTTTCTAAATGCTTTCAAACGTATTCATAAGTGAAAGCTGTTGATCTATGTCTACCAAGGAAGGCAACATCGTAAAACAGAATATAAAAAAGAGTGAAAAAAAAAAAAAAAAAAGGGAAAAACATTGGGTCTGGCCGGGGATTGAACCCGGGACCTCTCGCATGCAATGCTGTAGGGTGAACCCTAAGCGAGAATCATACCACTAGACCACCAGACCATGCAAATCGGCACTTGATTTTGCAAGTACGATCTGCGACGACAACGACAGGACTCGAACCTGTGACCCCGAAGGGATATGATTTCTAGTCATACGCTTTAACCACTCAGCCACGTTGCCAATGCTTGATTTGTTGAAAAACAGTCACAGGAGTGGATTAATGAAGGGGCTAGTTGGACAGGCTTGCTAGGTGGTACCGAGTGCGCTAGCAATCAAGATATCGACAAGGTTTTACCCAGTTGTGAATTACGGAAGCTAGACTACCTAGGTACCTAGGGGCAGAGCTAAGCTAAACACTGTGTTAAAAGGTACCGAGACGAGATTCAAAGCACACCAAAGATTAGAAAAGATTAAAAAAATTGATGAAGATAAAAATACAACCATAATGTCATGAACGCATATATGCTCAATTAAACTATCTCTTAAAATCTTGGAAGCTCTTTTCTTTTCAATTTTACACTGAAGAAGGAAAAAAATGGTTGCTACTCCCAGTTAACGTAGGAGGCATCAGGAATTGAGCCCAATGCGGGGGTCGAACCTTAATCTTGCTGTTAGTAATTGTTGCCACAAGCAGTGTATTGAATATGCTTGTACTCACCCGCAACCTTGAGATTAAGAGTCTCACGCTCTACCGATTGAGCTAACCGGGCAAGGATAAGTGTAACTATGCAATACCCATACTTGACTTGCTCGAGTTTGTGTGGGCTATAGATTGAGCTAATCGGGAGCTTCAATAGTCATGGGCCCGTGCTATAAAGCTGTTTAGTACTAGAAGAGAGTGACATTATATTTAGTAGATTTACAGAGAAAATGAATAGGTTATTAGAAAGGTATTGGCTTTTCAGCTAAATCGAAGAAGAAAAGCTCTTATTTTAGCAGGTTGGACATATATAATAGTCATAAAGAGCAACTTTGGACCTACCATGGTTACCATAAGACTCTCCTAATTCGTCTCAACATTTTGAAATATCTAAGAGAGTGACTGACTATGGCCCTGTACGTAGAACGCACTCTAACAACGAAGATTTAAATGAATATAAAATGCCTCTAAGAAAAAGAGATTGTTAATAGAAAGGTAGAACTCGATCTTGTCACGAAACAAAACTGCGACGCTAAACCAAAACACTACTTATGCAGAGCCAAAATATAACGTTTTCACGGTGGGAAATTTATATGTAGATTCATTCATCCCTAACCCTCTAGGTCATAAGAGGGATCAGAGGTCCATATATATAGACAAAATCATAGATATAACCACTCTATAGGGTCTGGTTACTTATCTCCTGACAGCTAGGCGACAGTGACATATAAATAGTCCCAGGTGGCTATGTCTCTTAACCAGACAACTGTCTATTTTGAATAATATATTGAATGTTCCAATGGAATATTGCTACTACTCCTTCTTGTATCACTGTGGTTGATAAAGGTGCCATCGATTCAATCTCCATCAAATGACCAAGTCTAGGATTCACTATATGTCATTGACCAAGCCCTCAACTAATCGTATATTCTATCATGGGAAATTCATAAGCTCTATATATCTAATTATATACGCCTCTATGTTTTAATTATAAGAATATGATATAGTTGAAAAGATAACTCATAAGTTATATTTTCGCCAGGAACTACGATGCCCCCCCGAGCCTAAAAATGAAACCCGTGGTATTCGATTACGACTAGCACAGCTTGGGAGTTCGGTAGAACTTTTACTTATATCCTGAAAACAGTTCCATTACCATGACTTGTAATTCCAAGGGTATTCAAGTTAATAAGCGAACATAAGAACTCTAGGCATTCCTCAACCTCGATACTATCCCTCTTAAATTACACTATAACTAGAGTACAGTAGGTCCTTCGCAGCTGCTTTACTCCACTACCATTAAAAAAACCTAGTTATTTGTCTATCGTTCTGATATCTAGTATGGTGGGCATACTGGACTACATTGACACCGAACGAATTAGCTATGTTCATAATTACATATATCGGCTCAATTGTGTAGTTTTCTACTAGGTATAGAGAATAGCGGATGACTAGTTCACGTCCTTATGTGCAGGGTTGTTAAAAATATCGTAGTATCTTGAACTAAGTTATGATTTTTTAATGACCCAATACTCCGAACCCCTTGTTCTCGCCCCAAAAACTCTTCGTGCTAATCCTCAATACTTACTAGGTATTCACGTAATTCCGTTTAGCTTTGAGCTGTGATCCTGGTCTCAGACAGCTCAAGCTCGCCGTAGTATTTCTTGTGCGCCGGGACGGCAGCAAAGGCTTGCATATAAGCAACGAGGTTTGGAAGCTCCTTGCGCATCTCGACATCAACTATGTGCTTGAAGGTTAGGTAGAGGAGACTGGCAACCATCAAGTCGGCCATCGTCAGTTTGTCCCCGACAAGGAACTTCTTGCCGCCTTGGAGAGATACTTCTAGGTACTTGAGATCTCGATCCAAGTTAACCATGTGGTCGTTGAACCGCTTTTCATCCAGAGTGTAGAGTTTCACTAGTTTCATAAAATATTAGCGCTTCATGACCTAAGACCCGGAAATTACATGATAGAGCATTTCCGGATGGGTAAAAGCGAAGTAGTGCTACTTACGAACAGTCATAGCAATTGGGATGAACGCATTGTTGAACAATTCGCTCTCGGAGAAGCATGCCCACTGCGTAATCAGGGCCTGCGTCTTGGCATCTGTAAACACGAGAGTTAAGAATTGCTCCGAGATAGCTACTTCAGAGCGGAAAACATCATACCTGCACCAAGCAGCTGATCGGCTTTCGGGCCGGACTTCGCTATGTATGTAGCGATGGCAATGCTCTCGGTTACGCAGAAGCCATCAGCGCCTTCAAATGCCGGGACCTTTCCAAGTGCGAATTTGGACAAGTAGTCAGGGCTCCGGTTGGTCTCACGCATGGTGAACGCCGGGACATCTATCTCTAGGCCATTCATGTCGGCGATGATCAACGCCTGCGCCCATTTTTAGTAAACCTGTCGTCATGAAAAGCAGCTAAGTTGACGATGAAGGCCCCGTCAAAGCAACGGGCAGGGGGCTGATTGTTATCTTACCCGGTAGACACGGGGGTTGTTAGCGTAGGAGAAAATCTTGCCGAAGGGGGCCATCTTGAACAGATTCCGTGAGGTTATAGGGTTGCGGGTGGTGGTTTTGGTAAGAGGTGGAAGAGTCGGAGTGAGGGTTTGTTGCGAGATGAGTTGAGTATGTTGTAATCGAGACTTGGCGTGAACTAGAGCGATAGAGAGTGGAACTTAAGGGCCGGATCACCCACTCTTTAAATGTTTATTGCGGTCAACAGAGAACGACGTGGTCAGTATTCCATTTGTCAGCTACGGCCTGCCGCTCTGCGTCCCATCAGGCTATTATTACCTAGCTGGGCAGCTATGAGCTGGCACTTGTCATCTCTATCTACATAATCCAGATGGGGATGGGTCTATTTCTCCCCGGTGTCGTGCCTACTACACGTACATATACGTACATACCTAGGTAGGCCGGCACCTTCCTTCTAGTCTGGTCTCGGACCGTTCCAGCATTGCACAAGCGGGGCGGTGCTGTCATTTCGTGCATCAGTCACACGTAAGACCGGAATTCACGATCGAGCGTGATAGTGTACCTATAATACGTATGGATATTTCTGGATAGCAGGGGATACCACCTAATAGACCATCTGGGGATACTCAACTCCAAACACATACGGTTCTGCTCAAGCGTCCTAATTTACCTGCTCAATGTATGCAGGAATATGGGTCTCCTTATTATGTGGGGAGGTAACAATGAATGAATGAATGAATGAAGAGATGTCGTCTATCTGTAAACCTTGGGATCTCGGCTTGTTCTGCTCTCTCCCAGAGGCTATTCTTACCGTGCCTTTACGGGACAATTTAGGCCCTCAAGATGATACCTTTTCTGCATCTCAAAGAAAAAGTAGTTGGGATCAACTTCTCTCGCTTAAGGGCGAGGGTTCTCTATCAAATGACTGAAGAGACGAGGCTGAACAGAGCCGCGGACAAGGATTCGCCTGGCGAGCTTACTTGACTAGATAGTCGACCCACGACAGCCGAAAGCCGAACAGCAGGACTTCCTCTATGTCTATCCACCTACAAACAAGGACGAAGATCACCACCTAAGATTAGGTAAATGTGCAACCTTACGCCGAAAATATGGTCCTTTCGTGAGGGTTGGCGGTGACATACGTCTCTCCGTATTTGTAAGCTGAATGAAGGCGGATAATCTGATCTCACAACTCCGGTCTCCGATTTGTTATGATCAAGGATGCGGTTGCATGTAGGCCCGGTAAAGCTATGCCTATTACTAATTAGTCCGCGTAGAATATCGAGGCCAGGGGTTTATGCGGATTTCAGAAAATGGAGACCAGCGTAGTTAGGTTGGTAGTATAATAATTAAGTATGCATCGTCTTCGCATGACGCCGTGTGTAAAGCCGGGCCGTACATAATGTCTGGAGGAGACTCGTCATGAAAGATATCTGTTATCTCCTCGAGGATGAGCAGCGCATTGTTCAGCTAGCGACTGCTTTTGCACTTGTCATTGCGCGTCGATGCGAACCAAAAAAAAAACCCCCCGCCTCGGCAGAGTTAGTTAGGGACTAAGAAGGTAGGCGACATCTAACTTTGCGTACAGTGCATACTGCGTACTGTGGTGTTAGTTATCTCCACTTGTAGTCTCCGCTGCCGGGCGGGAACTCGCCGGCCTCACACTCACTACCTACCAGGTAGGTATGTACTTTATTAGATACAGAGTGCTGCACTTAAGCCTACTGCGTAATTCTCTTGTGAGGTCGACTTGCTCATCGGACTTTGCCAAGAGCCCATATACATTCTTCTGAGGGTGCGTACTTTATTTCAGCATCAACCAACCACCATCTAAACTGGCAGCATTTTTGTAGTGACGATGTTACCATGTCTAAATGAGGTCGACTATTAAAAAAAGGTAGTTGTCAAGATTGATATCATTTTTGCCTTCGTCTAACCTGTACGTGCTTCTGCTCTCGCTATTCTCAGTTAAGCCAGGGCTAAGTTGATCTTGGCTAGCCGGCGGTATTGACAATAAATGGTCTTAGTGATGCTTTCCGCAAGTGAAAGATTGAGGGCGCTGTCGTTGTATATAAGAGAGTCTACGCAGGGGGGAATATGACGTCTTCAGGATCAACTGGAGGCCATGTTATCTCGACCACAATATGTTCGGCCATAGCCTTGAAAAGAGCGCGTTCGCCAAAATCAAGCTGGCGGACTGGAGTAAGGAAAAGAAAGTAGCTGGTACGAAACGAGTGGAACAAGCTGGGCTAACTGTGGGAAACCACTTAAGCATTGCCTGGTTTACCTCGGTCGCTGTAAATTATCAGAGACGACGCATATTCTTGTCGAGAGGACGCTCGAGGCGTATCATGAACTCCAGAGAGATATCTCGTCCCTGGATATACTGAGCAAGATTGCATTGGAAGGCTGAAGTGGATCAATGATTGAACTCCAACGCTGCTGCTGGCAGCGTCAATGAAGAAGCAACGGTGTTCCGCCGGGGTCTGATGCCACTTCATTCAAGACCATTATCGACTCGAAGGTGCTGAGGATGTCTATAGACCACTTCATGAAAGCTTGCTAAAGAAGACGCAAACGACTGAACTAAA